ATACACAAAGTCTTTGACATGTTTCAATTAGTAGTAAATACAAATAAACTGACAGCAGTGAAAATCAGATATAATTCAAGTTTTCTTTCTTTCTTTCCAGATCACAAATGACTCCATAGACGACGCTACCAGGAAAAATTAACCCGGATTTGAAGAAAATGGCGGCTCTACAGGAGAAAGCTCACTCTGTATGCTGGTTTATAGAAGCAAATGCAGAGAAACTTCAAAATACGTTACAAGAAAGTTCCTCCATTTAGAAACAGTATCCTTTACTGTCCCCATCCCCACAAAAAAAAAAAAAGAAAATGTTTTAGAAACAGGGAGCATCTTTGATCAGAATTTTTTCCGTGGATGTGAAATGTGTGAAGGTTAGGTTAGGTTATTCAGTTACGGCAAGGCCTCGAGGGCCATCTGCCTGAGGTGAGGGATGTCTTCGTGGACAACTTCGTAAGGAAAACTGGCTCATATATACGTTACATGGGGAAAACAACGAAAACACCTGTGCATCCAGCCCGTTCGCGGGATTCGAACCTTGGACCGAACTACCAGTGTTCAGCGACGTTACCGCTCGGCCGCTGGTGGGCTGTGAAATGCGTTTTATGAGACAAAACATGATGAGTGTTGATGACTTAAAAGCTACTACAACGGGATATAGCTACTGTGTACATCAGCATGCTAAGCCGTACATGACAAGAACTCGATTAACGTCATGATTTTATCCGTACTATTAAAGGAGCGCATTTTGAAGCATACTAATACAAAACACAAGGCTTTTTAATTTTTTCTGTTTATCGCCGCTGTCAATTTATTTGTATTTTCAACAGTTTCTGATACATTAATAATTAACATGTTTAATGTTTTAGATACCCTGTATATTCAGTGTAAGTTCATGCTGTGAATTTTGTAGAATATTGTAATATAAATGACATAATTTTACTGGTATTTTATTTTTCGCGTTAAACATTCCCCTATCATTTGCAACAAATAAGGAAAAAGAGTACATCTATAAATGAGAAACAAAATATTTACATTGTATTCTCGTGGTTTTATTAAATTTGGTTTCTGTGCTTGTTTGCTTAAAATCTTGAAATTAATTTTTGACCCTAGCCTATAAACTGGTTTTCTTATATATATATTTTTTTCAAACATTCGTATATGCTAGGATACTACAGTATTCAAGAAGAATAAAAATTCGATATAGATATTTTTATATTAGTACTGAAATTTTCTTACAAATCCCTTTTTAACGGTCAAGCGAATTATCAAAGAATTTTCATCTCTGCACTATGGACTAGAATAAAAAATTATTTCCCAAATGAATATTTTCATATTAGACAAGAAGAGAAACACGCTAATGTGACAATCACAATCGTAAAAACAACCTTATATTTACAATATTCTTACGCTAAATACAAGGTTGTTTTTACGATTTTGATTTTCATATTATTTTTTTATTTCTAACCCAATCTGCCAACTTTTGGCGGAAAATTTCAACTTCCCATAAAATTGACAGTATGAATATGGCTTATCTGTAAGAATGATTACATTCAGCTTACCCAAATTTCTGTTTAACAGTTTTCAGCAGGCCACTATTAGTTGTCCTAAGACATTAATTTGAATCATACATAACCATACATGATATGTGGAATATCACCAAGTATGATTTTGACCAAAAATATACTATAATGACCAACGATATTTTTTATGATAAAAATTATTTTCCGCTCTTTTGCGCATTTAAATAAAACGGTGTAATTAAAAAAGCTTTTCGTATATTTTATTAAGCGTTAGAAATATAAATTTAAACTAACCTCCATTGTTATAAAATAAAATAATCCTATTATAAATGTGTGTAATAAATAATGCACAGCAATATGAAGCAATATAGCTTGAATGGCAAATCATTTTGAGTTTGATGGGAAGAAAGAGAGCAAGCACACTGCTAGAAAATGCAATAAACTTACTTTCAAATTTTAAATTAGTTCAAAATTAGATAATTCAGAGTAAGCAGCATATTTTAAACCCTGTTACGAGGAAAGTGGGTCACATTTAAATTGTCATAAAGTTGCAGCGAGATGCCTGAACCGCAATTTCCGTCGCTTATTTGATTTTGATATTTCCTGTAAATAAGCAGCATATTTATCTGCGCAAGAAAGATTAAATATTAAACACTTTTAAAGACTCCTTTAGTATTTGTGTTATTATAGTTTGAATTCTACATAACTATCGTAGCATTTTGTGATTAACAGGGATAACATTTAAAATTACTTTGCTCCCGATAAAGAGGGACCTGTACAAGGTTGTTTCTTTACCAATTTTATGTTTATCTTTGACTTGTTTCTCTTCTGATTTAAGATATCTTTTCCTAATAGCTAGAACATTTTCGGTTTACTTGAGTTTTGAACAATATGAAATTTCCTTTCTCATATAAAACGTTGGATACCGTTTCAAAATAAATAAATAAAAATAGCTCTTTTCCCTCCCCAGATATCTAAGCGGTAAGATAATATTGCCCAAAACATGCAAGAATCTCTCTATAGAATCACTCAGTTTTCAATATTTTATTTATTTATTACACATTATTTTATTTTATTTACATTTTATTAACATCTTATTTACAATATTTTATTTTATTTATTACAATTTAATAAATTGAACTTTACGATAATATCAATTTTTCGCAATGGAAATTAAATAGCAAATTTAATTTTGCTTTGAAAATCATTCATGCACCTCAGGTTATTAACTCATGGACTCCCAGGGTTCCTCGAATTACTATTTAAGAATATTCGCTGTATATCGTGATAATGTGTGGTATATCGCAAACGTTGAGCTGAATGATTTTAAAAAAAAATTATGTTTATTAATTATTGCAAATTGTATCGTCATTGCAACGGATACGATTCTATTTTACCGCTGCGATTTGCAAGAACCTTTCAGTAGTATACAATTATACACGCAAGTTTTTCCTTGAAATTTAACAGTGGGAAAAAAAAAAAAAAAATAAAAATCGAACTCTTGCGCTGGATATGCTATTAAGCATGTTTCCCGTGAAAAGAAATCTTCTTCCCAGCTTTAGAAGGATAACGGAGATAAATCACAGCAAGCGAATATAATTCCTGAAAAACTTGGATACCCACACTATGCAACCCTGGACAGGATCTAATGGTATATGCTATCGGCGCCTACCCGCTTATTCATCTCTGTCAGTAGAAGGCTGGTTTTGAGATTTCACCATTCATCACTACATTGCTTTTTCACAGAGAAACCCCGAGAGGTACAGACGAAATCTCTCAGAAGGAAAAGAAAAGATTACTTTTTTATTTTCTCGTTAGGTTCTATTTTTTTATCTTCCGGCTAAATTCATCTGCAGAAGAAAGAAAGGCAGCTTGGGCAATTTATCTTCCTGACAAACAGATGAATGAAGGATACCCCTGGGAGAATATCTAATATAAATTTACCAGAACAATGTCCCAAATGATATATTTTTCTCCCTGTGACGGATACTTTATTTAAAAAACTTCCACTCGGATATTTGTTTGTTTATTATTTTCAGGGAAATTTATTTAAGCAGTTTTTATTTCTAATCTTTCGCTAAGTGAAATTTACTATAGCATTTTCTCATAAAACCTTTAGTTACTTTTCTTTTGCTTTTCTACATTTCTCTTGGGCTCTTAAGGTAGCAAAAGCAATGGTATTCAGAACTGTTTTATGGAGGAAATTAGTGCGGTCATAAATATAATTTTATAACGAAGGGCCACATGTCATTTAACGTAAGAATTTCTCAACAAATAATTAAATTTTTTTGCTGATTTAAAGTAACCTGCACTCGTAACCCATTTTTTAAACCTATTTCATCATTTTTGATAAAACTGTAAAGTAAATCCCACCTTTCTATTTTACTGTACCTTTTTACGATAAAAGTATATGATGCTTTTCTTTCGAGTGCACTTTGAAGTGACTTTTTTGAAAATCGCTATTTATTGCTTTTAAGTTACGTATTACGACTACAAAATGGGTCTGATTATTGTTAAAATGCTAGATAAACGGTCGAACCATTAAAGAAACGCCGAGTAGATGTTTATGTCAATAGAGACTGTTCAATAAAATGTTAAAATTCTGTTGGTTTTGTTACTAAAAATTTTATATTTCTATTTAAAATTAAATTTTAGGGCTTTATATATATTTTAACAGCAAAGCATTTGTTAAATATCACATCGGACTTTAATATATGGTAAAATTTCCCTTTAGTATTAAGTGAAATAAAATAAAGTCTAGCGCTTTTTAAGAAACGCAAATAGATAATTAAAAGTCTACGTAGTAATTATTCTTGCTTAAATTATTTGTTAAAAACTAGATCAGAGATAAAGTTTAATTTGATTGTTTAAATGCGTGTTGGCTGATGAACTAACTAATACCGTTAAGCGAGCATTATTATTGATTATACTGTTATCTAACAAATATTTGTTCGCCAAATTAATTTAAACGCCGCAACATTCCAAACCTGCAATTTTAAGTTTTAAGAGAAATGAGAAATTTTTTAATTTTGACCATAAACTTTGAATAAAATGGCTAAACGGTATTGTTTTGTTCGTGATTAAGGTAAACACAATTTTCGAAACACAGCTTTTTTCCATTATATTTTTTAAAGAAAGTACCATATTTTTTAGACTAAATGGCACAACTTTTACGCAGGAAAATTATATTTTAAATCGGAGTGCGTCTTGTGATTTGCGTAATAAACAAATGAGTTAGTTTCTTAAGGTCTTTAACCGTCGTTATCATATACAAGATACAGTGATACAAATGAACATTTTGGGTAATAAATGTGATCTTCTATACACATTAGATGACACAAGTATACAAAATGTGTTAGTTAATAACATAAGTATACAAAATGTGTTTATGTTTATGTTAAATCATAAAATGATTCTTCACATAATATCGGCGTTATATAAAATATTTCGTTACTAGTATATAGTCATCAGCTTTGTACGTACCGGAAGAGGAAGGAAAACAGGAGAAGGATGTACTTCTTATATTTTAAGTATAGCTCTTCATGTGAAACCATGAAAAATCTTGCATGTAATACGTTCCAAGACTTCATAGCTGTAGAAATAATAATATTGTAATTAAGTACATAAATCTTGGATTGATTAATGCAAGAACATGACATATAAGGAAATAGGAACAACTGAACATGATATATAAGGATAATGATACAAATGAAATTTTATGCTGTATCGTTTTCGGGTAGACAAACAAAATACATTGTACAAAAGAAAACAACAAGCAATATTTTGGCTACAACGTCTTAATAGAACTCGTACAGGTTTATTTGTAAGATAGTCAACTAATCTAAAACACTGTTCTTGAAAACGTTTATTGTTATTGAGGTAATTAAAATGTCAGTTCATTAAAGTTTAATATTTAATCTTAATATCTTTCTCGTCAAATAAATGTCATTCGGATTAACTTTTTGAGATAGACTAATTTAAAAATTTAGATGATTTCGAATGTATTTATAAAATTTAAATAATCACGTTAAATTCCAAGCTCCCACAAAAATTATTAAAAAATTGTTCTTTCTCTTTTTTACCCCTTATAAAATAATTCTGAGAAGCATTATACAGTCCTCAGGGTGAAGATATATAAACGCTAGAAATTTTTCCATTGTTAAAACACATTTACTTTATCTATTACTTAAACAGTTTACCCCTTGTATTTAAAAAGTTTACGTTTACTACTTACATGTTACTAAAATCCTAAGGATTGTAGGTCCACCATTGTAGTCTGTAGTTCGCACCGAAGAGAACGGAATGGCTGCATGTTTGTTTTCGCGGTTTTCTCAGTGTGTAACATATATAGGAGGCAGGTAAGACTTCCACAAATCACTCCTTCACTTACGCTTACCCTCGTATAATTTGCCCTACTCAAATACCCCAACATAACCTAATGTAATCTCCTAAGGATTGTTATTTTCCAAATCTTAATTCAGAGTGGATAAGTTTCGATTTCATTTGGACTGGATAGTTAATAAAGCTCTAAATTTATTATTAGCTGAAGGCTTATAGAAGTTATTGTCGTCAAAGCGTTATGTAAAAGTCATATGATATGAATATTTTTAGAACAGAAAGAGGAAATGCCCAAATTAAAATGTAGAATTACGGAGCTATTGCTAATTTAGATTAGAATTTTGTTTTACCTGTTTTCTATCTTGCATATTCTACCATCCCTTCAAAAAGAAAAAGACTTGGCAACACGGAAGCCTTTTTGAGAGAAAAACCGCTAAAGCATTAGCTACTGAAGATAAACATAATTTTAAAAATACAAATCATAAAAGTTTGACTAGAATAATTATTTAAATAATTGCAAAATATGAACTTTGAATAATCTGAACAAATTTCAAAATTTTAAAACACACTAATTTCCAAACACAAATAATTTTAAGCATCATAGATAAATTAGTAATATTACTGAAATTACGGTCATTGTTATTGTTTTAAGTCTGAAATTCCTTATATTACCAAACTGCAAGGATCCCCGCCGTATTTCAAAATGAGATGCAAAAACACCATCGCCAATCTATTACAGCTATTCCCATATCATCACATTGCATATATACCGTTAGTTCTATAAAAATATTATAATAAGAAAAACATTTAATTTACGACACAAATTAAAGAAGTTTCTGAAATAAATTAGTTGCTTTCGTTTATAGAAAAATTTGCAAAAGGACGCATCACTTCTATCGCATTAAAATACCATCTTTGATATTCTTTATTGTTATTATTATTGAATTTTTAAATTAATTTTATAATATTGTATTTCTGGAACTAAATTTTACTGTTCCTTAATATTATTTACATGTAATTTGCAAATGTTGCGCGTTAAATCATTTAGCATTTCAGAATGATCTTTATATTAATAATCTTTTTAATTTAAGTTACTTCTCAAACTGATCAACATTAGAAATTTAAAAGCCTCCTTTGCATCGTTATATAATTTTAGATTAAGAAATTTATGCTAAAAATAATAATAATAATAATAATAATTGTTTGGGGGAAAAGAGGCGCTAGAGATCTGTTTGCATATCATCCTAGTTAGTATATAAAAACATATATAAATGCCTTATTTGGGATTATATATTAACATATATTATTAGAATATATATGTTAGAATTAGTTTCACAACTATGCCAGAGAAAATTGACTGAAATTTCAAAGTATTATTAACTAATAATAAATAAATTTAGGAAGAAGACATTAAACGATACGAATAACATTAAAATAAAGTTAATTACTTAAGGATTAAAAACTGAATTACAAAAATCAATGGTATTTTCGCAAATATAGATATATTAAAGGGTTAGCCTAGATGACTGATTATTATTTTTTTTATTTTACCGCAAAATCCCAAATAAAGATTTATATATTCACATATATAATGCCTTATTTGGGCATATATAAAAACTATATAATATAATCTATAACTAATTACGTATAATTATGCATTAGATTCTATTAAGTGAAGAAAAATCAGTACTGAATCTGCCGTATGTTAGATGATTAAAAATCCGTTACCAAATAAATTTAGTACAACTTAATTGTAATACCACAAAAAACAAAATTTTTATTCACATTTTGTACGTTTGCCACTTAATAAGTTATAGCATATGCTTATATTTTCAACCTAATAATTACTGTAATTTTCCTTACTTTAATTCCCTGCCTGGAGTGTTGTATACATTTTTGTACATTGTTTGCATAATATCTTTTAGATGCTGATTTTCTATTTTGTAGTATTTTCTAACCAATAAAAGAAATGAATTAATTCATTTTTACTCAAATTTTCATACTCAACTTTCAGCGTTAATTTTTTCATTCATTATTTATACTTCTTTAATTTATCTTGCTTGGTTTAAATGCTGATTTTCTATTTTGTAGTATTTTCTAACCAATAAAAGAAATGAATTAATTCATTTTTACTCAAATTTTCATACTCAACTTTCAGCGTTAATTTTTTCATTCATTATTTATACTTCTTAAATTTATCTTGCTTGGTGGTCTATAAAAGATTACTATTAGCGTTTACACTTCCTTTGAAGATAATTGAGGAAACAGTGAAACAAATTCACACACAATACTAAAAGCTAAAAAATGGGACAAATCATAAATTTTCAGGAATTTTTCGAATTCTTCATATGAGAATAAGAATTGGGCAGGGGTGCAGCATTTAAAATAAAACAAAGTTTGCGATCTACGCGTAATGAGCTAATTTGGGAATGCACTTTTTAAAAATACCTCAAGAAATCCTTTCGATCTTTTTAATATAATTTGAAAATATTAATTTTCATCAAATTAGAGTTCATAAGAACCCGTTTGAAGTGTGATACTGAGGACCACAATATTGTTCATACCGGTGATCCAAGTACCACTGAAACTGTAATATTTATGTTTCTTTTTTTAGTGAAAGCATGAATTGAAATTAAATGAATCCAGTCCTTCTAAAGATTTGAGTTAAAATGTTTAGGTTAAAAAGGTTAAAGGTTTAGCTTTAGGTTAGGATTTGAGTTTAAAGGTTTTTCAAGATTAGTGAAATTCGATAATTCGAATGTCCCAATAAAAACTATCCAGAATCAAACTTAATTGTTATTGCAGTCTTGCAGATTTTTTTGCTCTTGAAGAAGAGAGACCTGTACATGCTTGCCTTCGAAATCAATTGAGATCTAAACATAAATTTACGCCAAACTCCAGGTTGTTGCGCTACCAATCTTATGTTTTAAATATGTTATGGAAAATACACCATCTGATATTAAATATTCACAATGCATGTCATTTGTGAAATATTATCCATTTTAAAAGTGAACAATTTCTATATTTTAAAGGACCAATTTAAGTTGCATCTAGATGCAACTTCATGCAAAGAAGCTCTCCAATGTCTGTTTTCAATGATGCTGCTGATATTTAAAGCTTGAAGTGACTGGCCACCTCAGCTATATTTTACTAGTATAAATTAATTCCTAGCTCCCAAATAACATACAGTTTGAAATCATGCATTTATTACACTTATAATGTGTTTCCTTTTAGTCCTGACTAATATTTCCCTGTTTAGTGCTTTAAAGCTACAATTAGGAAATATTAATTTTACTTTATGTATTCTGCGAAGAGAGAAAAGAGTAATATACTTAAATTACGGATTTATTACTGATCGGCAATGACTTACTGGTATGTATTATGCAAAATTTGCAGCTGTATGTATCTGCATTGCAAATGCTATTCAGAAATTGGCTATAAAAGGTATCTGCATTGCAGCGTTATATAAGAGATCATATGATAGGGATTAGTCTTGAAATTACATAGTGAATTCATACAGCTTCAAAAGTATTATATAAAATATATATTGTGTTGTTCCGACAATTATTTCGTTTTTTTTTCCCAACGGAGGGGTTAAGTGTATTTTTTTCACAGCCGACTTAATGCCGCATAATAATTATATATTTTGACAGCTGGTATAGCAAGGCTTGTTTGTGAAACAGTTCGATTGCTTCTACGCAATAGTTTTTGGTTGGTGCCCTTTCAAATATGGAAAGTGAAGAGCCGCATTTTCGGCATATTTTTATTTTTTAAATATCGAAAAGGAAAAATGCTGTTCAAGCAAGAAAAAAAATTATTTGGTGTGTATGGAGAAGTATTGACACCAGTGCCAAAACTGATTTGAAAAATTTCGATCCGGCAGTTTTGATCTTGAAGTTGTTGCACCACGTTTTGAAAGGCCAGTTGAAGGTGATGAAGACACAATACAGACATTGATGCAAACCGGCGAATAACTATTCGTGAGATTGCTGAGATTCGTGATCGACCTTTCATGGTCATTTGAAACGCCTAACTTTAATCTCAAAGCTCGACATGTGGATTCTTCATGTTCTTAAGCTCTCCACCAGCTTCAACTGACCTTCCAGAACATGGTGCATCTTCAAGATAAAAATCAAGGTAATGGTACATACATGGTGCATCTTCGAGATATCGAAATTTTGCAAACCAGTTTTGCCACTGGCGTTCTGTCATTACATCTTCTCCATACAACATCGGATAATTTTTTCTTGCTTGAATAGCATTTTTACCTTTTCGATAGTAAAAAAGTAAAATATGCCGAAAATGGTGCTTTTCACTTTCCATATTTGAAAGGGCATCAATCAGAAACACAGTGCGTAGAATCGATCAAACTTTTTCACAAACCAGCCTTACTGTATCTGCTGGCAAAATATATAATAACTACGCAGCTTAAGTGTGAAGTCGGCTGTGAAAAAATACAATTAAGCTCTCTGTTAGGAAAAAAAATGAAATTACCTTCAGAACAACCTTACTTTGATGCTAAATTTAGATAACTAATTCGTTCCTAATTTTATTCGTACACGCCTAACCCTCTTTGTCTACAGTTTTTATTTACTTATTTTATATTTCTGCACTATAGAACTTCTGTCCACCTTGTCCCCGATTCTTCTTAAAATTAACTACAAAATTCTCCATTCTGTAATTTAAAAATTCCTGTTCGCAGATTTAAAATTCCTCTTTACATAATTATTACAGAGAAAAATGAACGAAACGAAAATTGTTCTATTTGCAATAAATATATTGCACAAAGCATTTTTTAAGATTTAAGATTAGTTTGAAACCATTACTTATCAACGTAATTTTTTATAGGATTATTAAAAACATTTACAGTTAAAAAGGTTTTTCGCTTAGAATCAATTATCATAATTGTAAACCATGAAAATACAACAAATTTTGTAAGGGATATGCTTACTGAATAGCGATTAAGTGAATTGTGTTTGCAACAATCGGTTAGAAATTTCGTTTTCTTGTCTAGTTCCGAGATTACCAGATCAGTTTTCAAGTTTCCATGTCGAGGCCTCATTCTGAATTCAGTCAGCAAAACACGAAATGGATTTCTATTGGCTGCTTGGAAGAGAAAGAAACCTTGGCACAGCTTTCTTCCCCTCATGAATAATGATGTAGCCGTCGTCCTCCCCTCTTTCGCGCCTCCCTGGCTGAAAAACAGATGTAAACCAATCGGGAAGGAGAACGATCTACCATTCTAGTCGGGAAGCAAAAACGAACCTTTCAAAGACTCGTTTTCGGAACTCAAAAGGCTTTTATTGATCAAAATTTAATTTCTCACGCTGGAGCACAATAGATGTTCCATGAGCTTTGAAATTCTTACGAGGTCATCTATAATGTGAACTTGTCCTCGTCGGAAAATTTTGAAAACCGCATTAAGGCTATGCAAACCAAAAACGAATT